GGTTGGGTGTAACGTGTTTTGGTGCCGTGACAGTGTCAGGATGGTGGATGTATCAACAGAAGGTGTTGACACCGAATTAACCGTTTCCGTCCCTTGCCTTTCCCATCTTTCTTTACCATCCGAGAGCAGCCAGAAGGCAAATTTTTGAAATTCAGATGAGGAAGGCGTAAATATTTCATCTGAGGGCAATGCGTTTCCCTCGTGCCTGTATGTGCATGTACGTACGGAGGGCTTGTGTGCAGAGCTCTCCGAAACGTGCCGTTACGTTTTAAAATTACTTATCTGTGCATATTTTGTGATAGTTTTTTGACGCGGCAGTAGTATACCGATTGAAGATTATCTGCGTTTAAGTTTGTGATGGCCCTTTTATGAAAAAGTGCCGGTTTATACCTGTAAAACTGAGCAGATGTGTACAATAGCCCATCCCCTGCCTCAGTGTGGTATGGATCCACACTGGAGAAGGTTTGTTGCTCCCAGCATAACAGCTACGGCTGGCAAAACGCGACATGCTAAAAAAAAAATCATCATTTACGTTTTTAATATAGTCATTCTTACTTAAAACCACCACATAAGGCGTGGAAGATGTTGCACATAGTTTTACTTGACAAATGTGAAAAAAATAATGCAACTTTTATTCTTTTGTGGTCCTCTCCTGTATGTAATCTTCAAAGAGTGATTGCAGTTGGAGAGAAGAATGGTAGTGATTCAAAGTAGCCTTTTTATTTATTTTTTTTTTCTTGGGCCTAAAATTTGTTTTTAAAGCTTTGAAGCATTCAGCTCCTTTTTTATATTTTCTTCAGAGAAGTTCAGAGTAAAGGAGGTAATAATTAGATACGTCTGGTAGGTGAGCTGCAGTACTCTGTGGAGCACTAAACAGAAATTGGAGAATAGACACAGAAGCGAGCTTCATATTTTACTTTTTTTTCCCAGCCGGCATTTGTTGTTGAGTTTGATTTTAAAAGGATTCTTTGTTCGGCTTTGTCTTAATTTAAGTATAGAGATTTATTCTTAAGATTAAAGATTGGAACAACGGGAAGTAATTGCAGCTTATATACTTATAATCTTACTGAAAGTCAACTTTAAAGTATTAAATACGGGTATTTAAGTATCCTCTTATAATTTGTTTCATGCCAGTTAGTTATAATTTCTTTCTGTAACATGGATTGTTATAAACATTGAAAAAAAATGCTTATTATCTTTATGTGTAATTCACTGTCGTGAACAAATTGGATTTTTTTTCCATGAGTGAACTATAATATGAAATTTAATGTTTTGACCTTTCTTATGCTAGGTGGTTGAAAATAGTGTGATTTAGCTTTTCTGAATGCCCAAGCATGTTTTCATTGTTGGTTTAACGTGTTATGTTGTAGCTTTTAATTGGGAAAAAGTAACATTAGACATGTCACTTTCACACTAGTTCTTAATTTATGCAGACGCTAAAGTTCTTGCTGTATAAAAGAAAAACTTTTTTTTTTACTTTTTTTTTTCCTTGAGAGCTTTGATGGCTAGCATTCTTGTTAATGACAGTCATTTCTCTAACAGGAAGATGTTTTCATTTGTATTTACTTTTCAGTGCAGGGCAATTATGCAGCTCTGTGTTGCACACTCTCCGTAGTTTCTATCTCAAAAGAATTACAGTACTCGGAACAGGACTGCAATTTGAAGCAGGTGTTGTGTTTTACTGTTATGCAAAATAACACTAAAATATAATTGTAAGGGAAATTAAGGAAACAGCTGCAAACTTGGTATGGTAACCACTACATTATGATTCCTGAGCCGTTGTTGGCGCATCTTATATCAGGTCTAGCAGCAAATGCTTGGTTTGGTAAAGCTCACCTTGCTGATTTTTACTCCTGAAGCTGTTGTGCTTATTCTTACAAGAGGGGGGTTAGTGCAAAGACCAGGCCATAACCTTAGTTATGGAGCAGATGCACTGACTCACTAGTGGCTCAGTTCTTAAATGGGAGCTTTGTGGTTTAGTTTTATCTTTTCTTTTCTTTTTTCTCTCTTCTCCAGTGCTACAGAAGGTAAAGGATAGAACCCAATTACTGGAATGAAGGTTGCAAAATGTCTTAACCCAACTAACATATGGAAGCCTACATAGGCCTGAGGTTGTAAAATAGTAAAATAAATGGCCTATAGCAAGCCATCTGCCATTTGCAGGGCATTTTTATCATGCTTCATGCCAAAGTGAAAATTAGGCTTTGTATTAAAAATATATTTTGAATACAAATCAAAGATTCCAAATGTTTAATGTTACACATGGCAAACACATTTCTGTCTGGGAGCTAAGAGAAGTCCAGGAATATCACATTGCAAAAATATTGCTTGGTTTGATGCTCAGGGCTCAAGTCATTCTCTTTCCTGTCTCTTTGTCTTCCCACTAAGCCCTGATTTACCTTTGTAAATGACAAATCCGCTATTGCGTGTGGCAACTAAAGGTGGGGGGATGAACTGATTGCAAAGCATAGTGATTTCATTTAAGGCCTTGCAGCTGGGGTAGCGTGCCCCAGCTGAGAATCTGCCTCCTAAACAGGCCTGTTAAAGAGTTGCTCATCTTGAAAGTGTTCTTCGAACATCAGCTGATCAATTTTCACCAAGTCCCTCTGAAAGGAGGGCAGCTGAGGTATCCTCAGTTTATTGATTGAAGAAATTGAAGCCCAGATTCTGTGCATGGAACTCGGAAGAGATCAGGTCTGGGAAATTTCTGGCTGTTGGGCTCGCTCTCGTATTATAGAAATCGTCCGGTCTTGATGCAAAATATGTTTGAGAGCACTTTGAAGAAGTGGAAGACAGGGATGCATAGAGAGGGAAGAAGACGTTTTTTTCATATTATGTGGAAATATTTATGCGTAAAATTGCACTTACATCTGTCAGATCAATCATTATTGTCTGGTGATTAAACCAAACTATTTTCATTGCTAGTGTACTAAAATATGGATATTTTGTGAACATCATCTGGATACTCTGGACAGATAAATACATTGATGCAAAGGTATTTGAACGTACCTTTTTGGTATTCAATTGTCTGCTTTGCATCAGCTTCTTATAAGTCTCTTGACTGTAATTTATTTTGTAAAGCTAAAACATGGCCTTGGAAAAAAGTGTATTTGTAGAAATCCATTTGTCCTTCAGGAAGCTGGGTCCACTTGTTAATTTTCATGGCTGGGATTAGCACAAGGTGTTATTTAAAGTAGAGAATAGTAAATGTGGAGTATTTAACTGGAGCTTTCAACAGAGGTTTTTTTTTTTCCTGAAGATAAAGCCTTACTCTAAGTATTCATCCTTTTGATGTATTTAATGATGATGGAGTTAAATGATGATGTAATTAAAAAAAGTGAATAGTAATGCTTAGAAATTGGGTGTTTGGTACATAAAAAATATAGAAAAAGGTCTTTGAATGGAAATCAGGAGAGGATAGTCATATGTCTGCGTCTGTTTACGTCTCCTCCGAGTTGATAGCCGCGTGTGCTGTCTTTCTCTCCTGGCAGAAGCCCGTGGAGTTGATGAGGAACTGCTGGGAGTCGGGAGCCGCCTGGAACACGATGCCCTACCCCGCTCCTGGCCTTGGGAAGTTGTGAGCTGCTCATGTCCATAAGGAGGAAGGATGGCTCATGGAATTCCTTCACAAGGCAAAGTTACTATAACGGTGGATGAATACAGCTCCAACCCGACGCAGGCGTTCACGCACTACAACATCAACCAGAGCAGGTTCCAGCCTCCGCATGTGCATATGTGAGTGCTGTGCGTGTGTGGCTGCGTGCGTGCCGAAACTGGGAGCTGCTGCTGGAGGAGTGGGTTGGAAACTGGGAAAATTGGTCAGTCGCGGTAGCTAGTAGGCGAAACGGTTGTCAGATTTCTTACATAATGTATTTGAGTAACGGTGCTCCATCCCCTCCTGGAGGTAACTGTTCCCGCCTAAGGCGCGGTGCCACCGACTTCGGGGAAACTTGCCCCGACGATGACTAATAGGGCACTTTTTCTGAAACACTTTACTGATCTCACTTTAACTCGCCTGAGGGACCCATTGCTTTAAAATTTAAGCTCCCTTCCCCCCGCCCTTACCCTCAGCTGCGAAATAGGCCTAATTGGGACTAATTGTACCCCCTGATCACTGAATCCTTTGTGCTGCGGGTTGCGAGTGGAACGTGTGCCGCATGCGGCATTCCACTCGCAACCCGCGGCACAAAGGACTCGGGGGCTGCCCGGTGGTTCCTCCCCAGAAATACAAACGCCGCGTTAAAACCACGTCCCCGGCCCGGACTGCAACGAGCGAGAGCATGGGAAGGGGGGACCCGAAGCCTCCATACCTCACCTTGTTATTCCTGGGCATTGTGTGACCCGCGGGATCGTTCAGCTGCACAGGACCTGGGCTCAATGGTTGGTGTTAAGAGCTAAGTACCAGCTTTAACTCTGAATTTCCTTCCCATTGTTTAGTTAGGTTCGATCTTTATCGGTTATTTCTGCGCAGGTTCTTTTAACATTAGTAGACTGAAAAACACGTGAAACTAGAACAAAGACAAAGTCTCTTGGCCTCTTGTGTGCCATTGTTAGTCAGGATTTTGAACGATGTCACACACAATGAATTTGATAAGGATTTTGCATAATAAGGGGGGGAAAGTTTGCATTTTTGTTATGTAGAAGCCTTCCGGAAGAGTCACACTGTAGGAGTTCAGCACCTTCTAACAGGATTTCTTGTGGTTACAGTCTTCCTAAAGGCATCCTTTAGGAAAGGTGCTGAAGAGTGTGGTGGGTGTGTGACTTCTCTGAGTGGGGAAAGTTTTCGTTAATTACATGTGATTTATTACTGCAGCAATGACGTAACTCTTCTTTTAGAAATATTGCCATTTCTTGATTCGCTTTTCAGTCCTTTTGTCAGGAAATTGCTGTTGCATATTTTGCCCTTCAGACTGCACTTCTGACTGACATTAAGTACAAATTGTATGTGGAGAATGAATTAGGAACAAAGAAAAGAAATGTGGAAAGCAGTTTTAAAGAACCCCTTCTTACACTGATTTCAGTGGAAGCTGATTTTTAGGATTAAGTGTGGTGCTTGACGTTTTAAATATTGCTCATGCTTTGGTTCAAAAAGTCGCAAACACTTAAACAGCTACTTCTCTGGTAATCTGTGGGTCTCCGATGATATTGAGTTGACAGATGTCTTAAGAGATATTTTACTTGTTTGAGGAAATTATTGAAATACTGAAAGTATAAAGCACAATATAGTGATGGTGTTTTATAGGATTTTTAACTAAAATATTGCAGCTTTCTTAAAACCAGTCATTTGGTTTCAAGGAAGAGAGTGGCGTATGAGAAGGGAGATCAAAGTTTAGAAAAATTGGAAGAGATTTAGTCAGATTTACAATGGAAGCAAAGAAAACAGTGTTGCAGTGCAGGAGGTGAGTTCAGCTGTTGGCCTGGGTAGTGAGTGAAGGGTTCTAGAAAACCTGTTGAGGAAAAAAATGGCAGGATTGTACCAGGTGTCCAGAGTTGTGGCTGGAAGAAAGTGAGAGAGTGAAGGTATGACTAAGACTGTGGGTCGGTGGAATGGCAGGAATTGTAGTTAGTTCTGGGGAGGAGACTAGGTTATGTGGTAAGTTCAGAAGGCATCCTTGTTTGTCTTCCTAAATAGAGGTGTTCTGCGTATTTTCGACAGACGTTATCATAAAGTGCGAAATCTGAACAGAAAATTGGTAATATTAACAAGCCGTGATCTTTTTACCCTGTTGTATCTTTGCTAGTGCCACGTTGCTGCAGCTGCCAGAGTTGTTTTGATTTGATTAGGTTTTACAGCCTGCTTTTCATTTTTTTAGTATCTTAAAGTAATGCATGTGTTTATTTTTTTTCCGAAGAGGGAGTTTGAGGTGGTTTTATTCTTCTCTGGTGAAAAATCTGTGTAAAACGTCATGAGATGATGAGAAATGAGTAAAGAAAAAACGCCACAGGAACTGAGGGTTATGACGTGTCCAGGAGTAGCTGGGCAATGTACCGGCGTGGCCCTGCTGCAGACCAGCAGCTGGGTGCAACTTAAGGATGATGTTATTTCCGAAAGGAAATACTTTTTTTTTTTTTTTAAGTGATTTCTTTATGGATATGCATCTTCATGTGCGAAAGTTAGAACTGGATTCTTGGCATATCCTGAGCCGTTTATGTTTCTAGTATCCTTTGGGCCCAACTCGCATCTCACACAGACAAAGCGGAGAATCCGTGGAAGATCACTGGCACAAACCCGCGTTGCGGTGATGCTGGTGTTACTCTGCCTGTGTGCTCTGCTTTTTCTCCCACTTTCTTTCTGTGCCTTTCACATGACACTGTCACGTAGTTCAGTCAGGAGGAGTACAGTTCTCTTTTCTCATCTTTATATGTATTTTTAAACCAGCACTAAGTAGTGAATTTCTTTAAGAGTACTCTTGGGTAAAAAGCAGGGTATTAAAGCTCCCTTTGCTTGGGCTGGCTGTGACAGATGTTTTGCCAGTTACTTACTGGCAAAACTGGCGTCTGAAGCAGTTTGTCCAGTCTTTGTATTTTATTACTCTACTAATTGGTGTTTGAAGAGGTATTCTAAACACAATTTTTACTGTACAGTTATTTTGGATAAGGGGTTTTCATGTTAAATGTTTTTGTCATCTTGAAGCAATGCTCTCACTCACAGGTTTCACTTCTTTTTCTGAAGATGTTACAAAGTGTTTGTATTTGAATGCTTTGTACAAGTCCTGTTTACTTTCCGTTAGTTTTAATTAACTGTGTCACCTTAGTTCCCTGTTTTAAAGGGCAGCTGCAAAATAATAACAATTATAATGTGCCTTCCTTTGCTTCTCAATGATGATTATTCTTCTGAAAGTCTTTGTACTTTCTCATTTTTTTTGTCAGGAATTGTGACATCAGAGGCAAATGCTTCTTGCTTTTTCAGTGGAGTGCTGCAAAGTATTGTAAGATTATTTTTTTTTTCTCTTTTCATTTTTAAAAGAAGCTTGTAAGCCTATTTAGACCCTTGAGAGAGATACTCTGGTCAGTGGTGCCAGCAGTACCAGTGAGCAGCAGTAGGACGCAGCCTGGGGACAGGATGGGCACACACGGCAGGAGCTGGCAGTGGGGCAGGTATGCTTTAAGCTGCAAAAGGCTTCATCCTGGAAAACACAACCTCAAAGTAGAGCAGATAGAGAAAATTTCTACTATCATAGGCAGAAAAAAGTAAAGAGAAGATAATTGAATGCATCAGCTATATTTGTAATTTGTTTAAGGTGTTCTCTCTTTTTTTGTAAGACTTTTTTCCTGCAGCTTTACAGCAGCTGCCACAGTAGGTCTTTAAAACATTTTAATATAACAGGAATTACTAAGGCTCAGTTTTGTGGAACAATCCCATCTCACCCTTTTTTTTTTTTTTTTTCTCAATCCAATGGAAAGATGCTGGGAACAAAATAGGAGAAATCCAAACAGAAAATTACTTACTCACGTTTTAACCAGCAGGAAAAATCTTCCTGTTTAGGTACAACACACCATTTAGTTTTTTGGGGGGAAACGGAGGACAAAATAAACTTTGTGTATCTCTGTGGAAACGTCCATTTTGATAGACCTGGCTGGTGAAGGAGTTTTGTGGAGGTAAACTAGCTGTAGGCCGAGCCTTTTAGTGGACTTCATTACCTTTCCTCTGCTCTCACCACAGTGGCTTAGTGGCTTGGTTTTTTTGATTCTTGGAATACATGCTAAAACTCTGTTACAGTTTAAATTCAGTAGTAGGGGAATAAGAGAGATAGACGTTTATGTGCCAGAGAAAGTCTTCTAAATGAGCTTATGCATACCTGGAGATACATTGAACAATCTGTAACTATATAATTTTACTACCTTTGCTGTACTGGAGCAATTCCCCATGTGAATATTCTTATTTTAAAGGACGAGCATAAACAGCATTTTATATTAGTAGAACTATATATGTATAGTCGAATAAAGTATTTAAATATATGTGTGCAAATGTGTATAATAATAGTAATATAAAAATATAGCTGTATAATCATAGAAGAAGAAAATTTTCAACTACGATGAAGCTTTAAATTGTTAAAACTGAGAGAGTCTTCTTAGACTACTAACCTTGAGAAATAGGATCTGGAATACTTCTTTTTTTCATGGGGAAGCCATTCCACATTTTACAGATTTTAAAAACTCCTGCTGATCTTAGTGGTAAATCACACATTTGTTTTGTAAAATTCTCAACTTCTGTTTCCTATAAGATGTGTAATATTTAGGGGGATTTTATTAGTAGAATATGGACTAGTTTGGCATATACAGGATAGTGGAGTGCATACATATAATAATATTGGTTGACAGAATACAGAGATTCAGTGCTAAGCTAGTTAGCTACAGCGAGTGTGACTGAGCAAACTGTTTCAGTTGATAGTGGTGTGATAGGGGATCATCATTTTGGTGGATATTGTTGCTCTGCTCCTTACTGACGCTTCTTACAAAACCATACGCAGCTCATGATCACCTAAGATCCTTTTCACTACTTTTCTAAATAGATAAATAAATAAATAAAGCAATCCCTGAAACAATCAATCAAGTCATGAAAACAGGAGTACCTTGAATGAGTGTGGTTAAAACTTGAGCCTAACTTTTGGGTGCAGGGATTTTTACTGGGGTCACAGCTCACAGTCAGTCAGTCAGGTTACCTTTCTGCCGTTTTAGTCTCCTTTCCCTCGCTGGTCCCTCCGAGGCGAGGGTGGCTACTGAAACGTGGTGGG